GCGGCGCGGCGGCCCCAGCCGTGCCAGCACCTCCCGGAGCTGCACCGAGCCCAGCCCGGCTCCCAGCCCGGCTCCCACCCCGCTCCCACGCGTCCTCCGCAGGACGGAGCGCCGGGACCGCGGCTTACGAACACGCAAACAACTTTATTGACCCCAACAGTGCTCACCCCACCCCCAGCCAGTGCCCTTGGCAGCATCTCCACAAACAGGGGTACACGGCCCCCACGGGCACAGGGACAAGGACCCACCACCACCCTTGTCCAACAGCTCCTTGTCCCCAGCTCTTCACAGTGGCAGTGGCAGAGCGGCCACCTCCTCCAAGCACTCATCATAGATCTCCTGGTACTCCTCGTGGGGCTTGATCAGGATAACACACGTTGGGCGCTTGGAGCCAGCTGCAGCTCCCAAGTCCTGTGGGAACAGAGCAAGGCTGTGGGAGAGGCCGAGGATGACAGGAGTCCCCTCTGAGGGAAGCCCTGACAGCCAGCCAACATCCTTCATGCCCTGATCAAATGCCCAAGCCCTCCATACTCGTGCTGGGTTGAAGAACCCTTGTCACAGCTCATCCCCTGCACCCTGGCTTCTGCCTCACATGCCCAATGCCTTCCCCAGGGTGGGGAGCCAGGGTCTGCTGAGCTGCCTGCACCAGGGGGGAGAAGTCCCAAAGACACCGACTCTCCCTCCGCCTCATGTACAGAGGGGAAGATGTCCCCACCACCATCTCATTTCTGCAAGCACCCAGATCCCAGCTCAGAACTAAAGGGGGGAAATTGCATCCTGACTTCATCCCAGAGAGCTCTGGCCGCAAGGGGACCTCGAGGAAGGCAAAACGCTCTGTGTTCCTGCAGTGAAACACTCCTACACCTGCACGATGGCCATTTGTCCCTCTTGTGTCCTGGTCATGGCCAAGCACTGGACACTTGGCTCAGGCACTGGATATGTGCCTGCCTGGGGCAGCTCCTGTCACAGCCCAGGCCGGGCACTGCCCACTGGGCTCCCTCTGGCTGGGGTTGGTTACTCCAGGCCGCACGGCCACCCTTACCGATTTGGAAGGGATGTATGCATAGGGGAGGTTCCTGTCTTCGCACATGATAGGGATGTGGCAGTACACGTCGATGGGCAGCGTGTCGCCGGCCAGCACCGTGATCCTGCAGGGGAAAGTCCGTGTCAGCGGCCGGGCCACGTCGGAGCGGCGAGGCCGGGGCGGCGCTTACCCCTTCTCGCCCTTGTTGATGAACTTCTGGACCTCCTTCACGCCGCGACGGATCTGCTTGTGCTTGGTCGCTGCAAGAGATGCACACTGTCAGGGGGCTGCACCACCGCAGAGCAGCCCAGTCCCGCCCGGCCCCTGCCCTGCTGCCAGCCAGACCTTTCCTGATGCACTTGTAAAGCTTCCGCGTCAGCTTGCGAGAGGCGAGCGGCTGAGCGATGGGGTTCAGGAAGTCGAGCTGCTCCCGGTACGAGCGCTCGGGAGTTCCCTCCACCTCCACAGCTGCCTCCAGTTGCTTCTCCCGCACCATGGCTGCACTGCCGCGCTCCGCTGCTTCCGCTTCCAGGGCGCTGCAGTACAGGAGGACAA